TGCTTCGGGGTTGACGATTAAAGACAAACGTCAATAAATGCACAAGAAGACAAATTAATCGTTCATTAATGACAATGGCTGCTGTTACATTCAAAATTGGCAATGGCTATCAGTACGAGGTTACAAGAGGAAAGTTAATATGAAGTTACAAAAAGAAAAGTTAAGGTATTAGATGTCTTAATTACAATTTGCCCCAAACCGAACGAATTCTTTCCCTAAGTCTCCCCCAATCCTCACTCTGCTGAGAAGAAGTGACATTCAATTCGGCTACAATATCATCATCAACCTCCAGCTTCTTGTACTGCTCAAACAAAGACTTGGTTCGCTCAATTCTTTGAGAAGCATTACGCTTTTTAGCAGCCTTCGCCTTGCAGTCATCCATCCTTGCTTGAAGCTCCTTCATCTGTGCAGCCAAACTGGTCATCAAAGAGTCTTCAATCATAACTTCGGAAGAGATTTCTTTCAATTCGTCCTCAGCTTTGTTGATCTCCAGAAGCAAAGACTCTCTTTCAGATACAACGCGAAAATATTGAGTACTCTTGGCCTTCAGTTCAACATTTTTGGCCAGTATAGAAATGATGTCAGAATGGACAACTTTCAACGTCGCTTTAAAATCAGCAGAAATATTGAGCGATGGAAGTGTCAGTGCTTGCTCCAACTTCGCACTCAAATGCTCAAGCTTATCCTTATGTTTGGCAACACTAGCCTGACCGATGTCCATGTCCATAAAAGATACATACTCAAATATCGACTACTTGAGGAACTTCATATCTTCCTCTGAAGAAGCAGAAGGACGACCGGTTGAAGTAGGGCGAGACGTCTTGACTTGCTCCCAGGAAGTGAACAAGTCCTGAATGGAACGCACAATCTCATCAGCATCCTGCAAAGAAAAATGCCAACATTGAAAGTTTTTCACTACAATAAACAAAGTGAAAATAAAAGTGAAGCAAAATGTTACCTCATCAGCAATCTTGAAAGGTGGCATATCACCAGTTGGCTCCACCACCTGTGGAGACTTCCCCTTGTCTGGGCGAGAAGACTCTGCCACAACGGACAGACATATGGGGCCTCTGCATGATTAAAGAAGCAACAAATCAGAAACCAATAGCACAAGCAAAGGTAAAATATCAAAAAATGTATTACCTTCTGGTTCGACGTTTGGAAAGTCGGCGCCCTGAGAAGGAGATGGCTCATGAAGGTTCCGGGACTGAAGGTTTCTTTTTAAGCGTAGTCCCTTCATCAACTGGTTTGGACGAAACAACTCCAACAGATGATGATGGAGCAGGAGCTGCCAACACCAAAGCCCTCAAAGGAGAGGCTGAACTTTTCTAAGAAATTCAAGAAAACCATTAGCACATAGAAAGGTATTCTTGTGAGTAGACAGACTTCAATTACCTTTCTCCTCATGATGAGAGGAGTGTCATCATCTTCATCCTCCAAAATGGGAGATGCTGAAACTAACCGTTTGCAGCTTGGGACACTCTTAGCTGCAGTAGGTTTGGCAGGTAGAGAAGTAGAGGGACGAACAGATTGTTTAGCACGAGCAGGGGAGAAAGGATTCCTAATGGATATAGGGGTGGCCAAAATAGGAGAAGTGGAAGGAATGTTTGGCTGATCCAGTGAATGGAAAGCACGATTGGCATCAGTTGCAAACAATCTGCGCTTCACTGATGGCCAGAGTTGTTCAAAAAGGGGGTGAACGGCACGGCTAGGATTGAAGGGGACTAATGAAAAGTTACTCGTCAAAAGAATATTGCGAGCATCTATAGCTTGTGCCTCTGCCTTATTAATGGTGTGAAAGCGGTCTATCAATTTTTTTGAATAACAAGGGGGAATAGGCCAAGTTTGGCCAAAACCAAGTTGGCGAGCAAAAAATTGGGGAGCATATATTTCAACCCCAGCTTTGGCATTGGTTCCAGTTTAAATATCATGGAACAACTTCCTCCCAGTAAAAAATTGGACCCAAACGAGCAGAGAGACACTCGCACTGTCCAGGGTGGATGGAGGTTGCACATAATTTGGAGTTAAATGAGCAGGAAAAGGAAAGAAGGAAGGAATTGAATTTAAAGTATAAAAGAATGAAAAAATGTCCCTTCTGGACATATTTATAGGGCTGAATGGGTCAATGGCTAGCCCATAGCAGTTAGCAGAACGAAAGGACATGAATAGAGCACCAAGTGATGAAAAATAGGCTCTCAACCACAGTTGAGTGAACCAAAGAGGACCACTGTCAGTGGGAGATGCACCATTCTTCAATTGAAATTGAAGAGAAGCCATGCCTCTATAGAGGGCAGCCAAAAAGAAGGAACACAAATTCAAAGGCCTACCACTCGCCAATTCGTGCGCTATGGGTAAATAGCTCATAGAAGGCTTCAGACTGGGCATACACAGAATATATTTACAAAACCAAATCTGAAGAAAGGCCACACGCTCAGCGTGGGAAGGCTCAGCGCTTGAGTGATTATAACAGTTTTGCAGGCTTGAATAGGACTCGGTGAGTTTTTTCTCAAATTTTGGGGCAACATTGAAAATTAAAATATCGGGGAAAATGGTGTCGCCCAAAGGTGGAAGATTTATCAGGGCCCCAACATCCCTTGAAATAATTGACATGGGACCAAGAGGGAAAACAAAAGTATTATATTCAGAAGACCAAAAACTTAAAGCAATAGGAAAAAGTGCTGGGTCAAAAATTGGAGGTTGAAGAGAGATTTCTAATAAATCAGAAATCCTAGCACGATCAAAAATTACCTTGTTAGGACCATGGCCCACAAGGCGAGCATGCCATCTATGGAAAACAACATCAGATTTAGGCCAAGTGCGAACACCTTTTTCGTGAATCGGCCTCAGCGGCAAAGAGTTCAGGAATGGAGGGCCTTGAGTACAAGGGAACAGTTGGCCCACCGCCACTTGTTCGACGGCTTCGATGTTGGTGAATGAAGGACCCAGATAGAAATCATTAAGTTCGGTATTGGCTGGTGCAAGGAAGTTCAGATTTATATATGGCCGAGTGAGGATTTTCTGGAAATCTTCGAAACTAAAAGAAACGTCAGATTGGGTTGGTGGAGCAGCCACTGGAAACGAAATACAGTTTTGTTAAAGTTTGCTTGAGAAACGTAGCAGAGAAGCAAGAAGATGAACGACGGTATGGCGAGAAAGAAGCTCGAAATAATGAGACGTGATTTAGTGGTACAACGAAATAGCGTGTCTTTGGGGTTTATAAGGGTTTGTAGCGTTGCACTTTTTCAGGCTATGGAAGAAAATAATGATTGAAATTATTGGGAATTTCAAATGTTGTTGGGAAACACAAAGTAAATATGGCAAAAATTAATAATTGGTATTAATTCTGCCATATTGGAGGGTAATTGTTGACACACTAAAAGTGCAGCCTAAATCAAATAGCCCAAGGAATGAAGCCCAATTAGGGAATTCCCAAATCAAATAGCCCAAAGAATGAAGTCCAACTGGGCAATTCAGGATAAAGACCCAGATAGAGTTATTAATGAATGCAGTGGAAGCCCACGAACACGGTAACATATCGCCCAAGCTTGCAAGATGCCCAAAATCTAAGCGAATGAAGTGTCTTACAGTCGCCCAGAGCTATGACCCTGTTCTCGCCCAAACTTTCGAATCGTCCAGGATCTTAGCAAACATAAAATGTTATGGTTATCCAAAAGTGCAGTTATTGAGTAACATTATCACGTTCCACGATTCAAGGAGTTCAATTGAAGACGGTTAAACGACAAAGAATAGTGGCAGCAGTTAGAGACAACAGTTTCACGACAAGTTAGCCACCATAAAGAAAGTGGGTAATTATAAAGCAATCAAGCGGTTTCTAAGTGGTTGATCACGAAAAAATCATCAAGGAAATATAAAAGGAAGAGAAGACATAGAGCAAAAGACCCCGAATCAAACACTTTCAAACAGTGAATATGTAATTTCAATTTCTTAGTTTAGACTTAAATATTTCTTTTCAGTATTCATGTGCTTGCGCCCCTTGGAGGCATTCTGTTTAGTTCCAATTGTAAAATTATCGTCAATAAAACACCACTTTTTGAGACTTTGTCTCAAGAGGTTTGTTCCTTACACAATCGTCTAATTCGTTTTTAATTGTTAGCGACTACTCGAGCGAAACACTAACTAGCATTACTTATTTACTTTTGAAGAAAAATCCATGGAACAACCACGTCATTTCCATCCTGCAAGAATTATGAGATTATTCAAAGGGGGGCATTTGGCATCAAACGTTCATAGACCGGCTATAGAATTTTGTTTAATAAGTGGAACATGGAACATGTTTTTCAGTCTTTTTTCCATATTAGATAATAAGAGTCTAACAAAAACAATAGGTCATTCTTAATATCTAAGAGTATAAACAGTACATAAATCAATAAATCATCTTCTATAATCATCTTAATTACGATTAAAAGAAAATTAAATAACATCATAAATAGAATAATAATTCACCCTCCCCAAATTCAAAACCCTAACCTAAAAATAAAATAAAATAAAATACTAAAAAAATATGTAAGTTAAAGTAAAAATTGACTTATTTCCATGTTATTGTGATGAAATTTCACACTATTCCATCTTAGAACCTGCAAAATATCAGAATTCTACAACTTAATATCAAATATAGTGTTCATATTTCAGATTTTGGTGTTTATTTCGTTTCCTATTTCAATTTCATGTTACAATAAACATTGAAAGTTCAATTTTTCAGGTAGCATATTATTTTCACTTTGAACTTTTTATTAGGGAATTTTATGAAGTTTTATTGAATAAATACTCATGGATTTGAGATTTTTGAGGTCCTTATTTACTCTGCACGCTTATTTATTAATTGGTTTGTTACCAATTCTGATTCCAAGGTTCACTAGTGTTTCTTTTTGGAGATGTTCAGTCTTTCCCAATCAATGTTGAAGTTAGATTCCACAGAGGTTAGCTTTGTTCCCGACTTTTCAACTTTTTCTTGGAGTCTATATCAAATCAACATGTAGATTATGTCGAATCGTTCAGCACCGAAAGGATTCACTGAACGTTCATTAGATGAAGCTGCTCAAAAGGTCCATTTGCCTATCTATTTGATTTGACCAAGTAAATCAACCTATCCCCCAGCTTACAAGAGCTTTTCGAGAGGTGTGACTTTCCGCCATGTCTTGGATGGAGCTCTTTAATTGAAATCCTTATTAAGTATATATAACAACATTCGATTAAAATATAGAAATGGGAACTTTTAAGTAAATTTTTTAATTATTCAGTGATTTAATATGCAACTTTTTTTTTCAATTTCAAAGATTTTCAAGCATGTTAGAATGTGATTTTTAAATGTTATTTATTTTTTTCATATTTGTTCTTTATTATTGAATATCATGTCGTGTCACTTTTTAGTTAAAATATCTCATAGACTTCAATATCTGTTTTGACTTTTCAAAAAGAATATTAGAACATTTTTACCTAAGTTAAAGTTTTCATCTTATTATTTTGCTTTAATTCTTTTCTTTTTATATTGTAATATATTATTTATTCATTAAAACACTATAGCTTCGAGCAACTTGGTGTTACCACCATTTTTCAAAACTTACTTTCCTCTTACTCACTTTCAATCATCATTTATTAGAACATTCAACTTTTATTAATTTTTCGATTATAAATTTTATAAATAATTTAAAAATTAGATTTTTAGCTAAACCAAAGAGAAAACAAGGCCAAGAGAACTTAGAGGTGTCTTTCGACTTAGAATAATGCTACTTATACATAAGTAGTTACATATTGATTTACATACAAATGATCAAAAAGATAGTAGAATTTCATTTATTTTGTTGAAAAAATTTCATTTCATTCATATCTCACCATAACATGTATACGTAAATAATTATATAAATGTAATATGTACATATATTACAACCGTTTAACTTATAAATGCAGCATTGATTGAGTTACCTCCGATAAGGAATTTGTCTCATGGAGGCTTCCATTGAGAGAATACTCTTTGCATTGCCATGTTTGACTGAAATGTTTAATTGGATAAGAAGGCTATTTTAGGCGTAAGCCTCTAGTTAGACTAGTAATTAATTAAAAAGATTAAAAGTGCAAAAAAAAACACTCGTAATGAATCATATATTTTTAAAAAATATACTAACAAAATTATTTATAAATACATCTCAAATATATTATTTTTTTATTGACTTGTACGGAATGTAAACTATAATTTTGGAAACACCATATTTGATTAGTATTATATTGGTTTATAGGAAAAAGTTTTTATTTTAAGTGAGCTACTAAGATATTATGTTCCTGTTTGATAGAGATTAAAGTCTAAATTTTAATTTGAGTTAAACCACATATTTTATGGGATTCACAACTTTAAATTACACATTTCATTAATTTTTATCAAAATCTATTAAAAAACTTATTTTAATCCTTACCGAACAGGTGTTATATCAAAAAAGATGAGCATGCTCCTTTATATCGGTATATAAAATTTTTATTCAAAATATTTTTAATTTGCATGTTCTAAAAAATTCATAAGTATTAGTTACTTAGTCACTGTTTTGAGCCCCATTTTAATAAGAAAATGTACTATGGAATGGTGATTTAAAAAAAAAAATATATGTGATTGAAAGAGAAGGAAAAAATTTCGGTTTATATGTAAAATTATTTAGAAGAAAATATGTGGTTGACAATAATTTTTAAAAAAAGGAAGTCAATCATTATTTTATATTTAAATAGTGTGTAAATGCTTTTCAAATTGGATTAAACTAGTTGTACATTTGATGTACATTAAGCCTCAGTTCATTTCCTTTAAAGCAATATCCTTTAGATTTCATACTCATTTTCAATATTATATTCATTCAATAAAATATTTTACACATAAATTCACAATTTTTTTTTTACTTTTTAAACACACATTCTCCAAAAAATCACTAATAAAAATATCATTTTTCTCACCAATAACCATCAAAGGGGAGCTAAGTTTGATGCTCCATGTGTTGTCAAAATCTGTATCATTGATTATTTAAAGTATTATTAAAATCAATATGTAAAAAAGCTATCATCTTACAACAATGTCAAACTTAATGTCAATAAAGATGTACATGTAGGACTAGACGTGGGTTCAGTTGGAATGATTTTTTTTTAGAGGAAATTATAGCGTGGGCGGCTTTTAGTATCCCGAATTCAGAAATCAAGAAACAAGTTTTATATTTCACTATTCAGGTTTTAATTAATATTATATTATTATGTAAATAAATATTTATTATTCATAATCACCACGATCATTTAAGTTAAACTAGAGAGAGAGAGAGATTTAAATTAGGAAAAAGTATTTCTAGAAAATCACTAAATCTTCTGACGGCCTTATTAATATGGGGTACTTTTAAGTTTGGCTTTGTCAAACCAACCATTTTTCATTTTAACCATAAAAATCTAACATTCACCACAATAGTCATTTCTTGTATAAAAGACAAAAACGCCCTTAAATGAGTTATATAATTACAAAAATAGAAATATGGTAAAAAGACAAAAATATTCTTAAGTTACAAATAAAAATCCAAACAAGGCTCAATTGAAATTTGAAAACGAAGTCAGTCTTTTCATCAGTTTACTCTAACACGATAAAAACTCTTTCATTTTTCATCCACTTCAACCTCAAAATTTCATAAACTTATCAGTTATCAACCTCAACAGAAAAATTTAGTTAAATTTCAGCACTTCAATTCGGTAAGTATCTTTTCGTAGTATTTAATTTTATTTTTATTGAAGTCGTATATTTTTTTTAAATGGTAGAAAAAATAATATTAGAGCCAAAGTTCAGGCCGGCACCGATCAGACGCCGGAACGTCGGATTTAACGACAGTCCGGACCGTCCCGACCGTCCGTTTGCAGATTCCCCCGCCCCTCGATTCTGATAATTTTATTTCTGATAATTTATTCTGATATTTTTAATTCGTAATGCAGATATGGCAAAAGCGTGTGTCCCAATCTGTTATTTCGGTGAATTTCAAATGAAAGAAAATGGTCAATGGGAATGGAAATGGACGAGTGAAGGAGAAGGGGTTGCTGCTATTTCGATAACAAAAAATACTTCGTTTACAGAAATGTACAGTGAAATACAAAACATGTTTAACGTCGATTCCTCTCAGTACGATATGGAAATTGGGATTTTTATTTCAAAAGCATTCAACAATTTCGATTCCACCTTTGAAAGTTACTTCTGAAGCGCAAATAAAGCATCTAATTCAATTGAACCAAGGTCGAAAGACGACTCCTATTTGCGTAAGTTTGTTGAAAAAAATGTCATCGAGGGTGAATACGAAGTTTTTGATGGAGAGGATAGTAATGAAAATGATTTTTGGGATACTGTTGAGATTGCTCGGGAGGATGATGTGGTTATTCCTGGGGCAGTTGCTACTCACCATGATGTCACTGTTACACGAAGGATTTACGAGGAAGTTCAAGACAACGAGGATGAAAGGCCATTTACAAATCAGGATTTGATTGGTTTATCCAGACAGAGACATGAGTCTGGTGGGAGCTCACATGCTGGGCCGAGTACATGGTCTTCTAATTGTTCGCGTGTAGTTCTTAATGATGAAGATTTACATGTCGATCAATTGTTTGACACGAAAAGAGATTTGTAAGAAGCCGCGCACCGAATTGCAATAAAACATAATTTTGAGTTTAAGGTAAAAAAAATCAAATAAATCTACATACACAATTATTTGTGTGGACAACAATTGCAGTTGGCGTTTGAGTGCGACAAAGATGGACACAAATGAGTTCTTTGTTGTTCGTAAGTATGCGCGGGAACATACTTGTGAAGTGGGTATTCGTCAAAATGATCACAGGCAAGCTCGATCATGGTTTATTGGTCGACAGATAATGCACAAGTTTCAGGATCCACGGACGATTTACAGACCTACAGATATCATCAACGACATCCGTCGAGAGTATGGGGTGGTTATAAGTTACCAGAAGGCCTGGAAGGCTAAAGAATGTGCATTGGAAGATTTAATGGATTCGACAGAGGAGAGTTATGCCAAATTGGCCAGGTATTGCCACAACATGGTGAGAACTAATTCTGACTCAACGTTTTTTATTGAAACCGATGGGCAGAATCGCTTCAAGTATTTTTTTATGGCTCTTGGACAATGCATTAGAGGTTTTCGAAATGCTATGCGACCTCTAATTCTAGTTGATGGTACAACCCTAAGAGCTAGTTATGAAGGAAAGTTGATTATTGCTACTTGTCAAGATGCCAATATCCAAATTTACCGTCTTGCATTTGGCATTGTCGATGGAGAGAATGATCTAGCAATGCGTTGGTTCTTCACGAAGTTGAGAGAAGTAATTGGGAACATCGAGAACTTTGCATTTGTGACTGATCGGGGGCAGTCAATAATAAATGGTATAGCCGAAGTTTTTTCAGAAGCACATTATGGTTATTGCATGTACCACATTCAGGGCAATCTGAAGACTAGGTACCGGGGCAGTGGCATCGTTGCATTGTTTAGGAGAGCTGCAGAAGCTTACAGCTTTGAAGAGTTTACAAAGTTCATGGGCGAAATAGAACATAAATCAGAAAGTGCATGGGAATATCTATTAGAAATGGGGGTCGAACATTGGGCACGGTCACATTTTTCAGGACGTCGATACAATATGATGACGTCGAATAATGCAGAGTCGCTGAATGCATTATTCAAGAAGGATCGAGAGTTACCGATTCTCGCAATGATAGAACATATTCGCAGCAAGTTGCAACAGTGGTTTTATGACCGACGTGAAGAATCCCAAAATTGCACGAGTGTGCTAGCTCCGGCACAGGAAGATCCACTATTCAAAACTCTGGAAGTGGCAAAAGCTCTATTTGTGGAACCACTAGATCAATTTCACTTCTCCGTGAGATGCGGGCGCAATGTTGGATACATTGTAGACTTGAATGACAATACCTGCACGTGCAGAAAATTTCAATTGGAAAGTTTTCCATGTGCACATGTTTTAGTGGCTATGTATAGAGGATTTCCACCACACAGCTTGTGCAGTCATTATTATATGACTGATTTTTGGAGAGCAGCGTATGCCGAAACTATATTTCCTCTACCAAATGAAGCCGAGTGGGAAGTTCCTGATTATATTGTAGCACTTAATAATTTGTTGCCACCTGAAGTTCCACCGCGTACTCCTGGTCGTAGACGGACGTCTAGAATACCATCTACAGGAGAGTTTCCACAACCGCGTAAGTGCGAGAGGTGCGGCGCTAAAGGACATACACGTCGATTTTGTACAAGCCAGATCCCACTAAACAATGACTCGACGGATGTGTAGTATCTATATAAATCATATGTATTCTCTATTTGTAATATGTTTTTGATTTTCTCAATTTAAATCGGATGTAATCTTTATCACATTGTTTAATTACTCTTTTTATTTTTATCACATTTGTCATATGTATTTTCTATGTGTCATGTATTTGTTTGTTTTCTTTTAAAATAAGTGAGACAACGATATATATTAACTAACAATATGGAGAGATTACTATTTCTTTAATTAATTAACTTAATTGGTGAAGTAAAAAAATATTTCGTTAATCATGTGTTTTATTTATTTCATATTTGAATAATATTTAATCGATTTTTCCTTTTACTATTTTTTTTAAGTAATTATCTTAATTGTTTAAGAAAAAAAAATATTATTCAATTTAATTTATTCGTTACATATTTCGTTAATTATGTATCTTATTTATTTCATATTTGAATAATATTTAATCGATTTTTCCTTTTACTATTTTTTTTAAGTAATTATCTTAATTGTTTAAGAAAAAAAATATTATTCAATTTAATTTATTCGTTACATATTTCGTTAATTATGTATCTTATTTATTTCATATTTAATTACTCTATTTCGATTATTTATTTGAATAATATTTATTCGATTTTTCCTTTTACTATTTC